GCCTTTTCAAAAATGTTTGTCTCAAGAATCTTCTGTCTCCATAACAGTGAGAGACCATTTTTGAGCAAAACCAGTGGTCAGGTCTGAGGGCATAATCGTCTTTCCTTAAAATAACTTTATCTCAGACATGTTCCGAGAAATGGGAAAAAAGCTTTTAAAAAAAGTAAAGCCGTGATTATCCTTTAGAACCTGGGGCACATTCGTCATTATGCAATTGGGGTATAGGTTACGAATGCGGTTGCGTCAGCAACGTTAGGAGACTTTTGTTACACGTAAATTTCCAATAATTTAAATTAAAAAAACCGAAAAGGGTTTGGTACACAATTTTAAGTCTCGATTCCAATATCAAATAAACATATATTCAACCCAAAAATTTCAAAATAATTTTTTTAAAGTGCTTTTACCAGTTTGGATTTGCTAATTATCTTACAAAATTAAGTGGATAAAAATATGTATTTTGTGTCTACCAACCTCAACAAATTCCAGACACTAAAAATCTACAAGACTAGTAGTCTATGACTTCCACGTGTAGCTTCCGTAGAGACTGTCACTAGAAAACTATCACCGCATGTCAATTTATATTCTCTCTGGGCACACTTTTCCTTGAAGGATATAAAACCTCACAACCCTTCGTTAAGTTTCATTTCTACGGTCGCATTGTTCTGATGACTTCGTCGTAATCTCTCGTCTTCTCCGATTCGCTTTTTTTTTTTATCTCATTTTCCTCAATTTTTAAAACCCTTATTTCCCCTTCTCCGATTCGATTTCGAGTAATCTGTTGCTGGATTAAAGAGAATAGTTTTCTTCAACGATTGAATGGGTCGTGGCTCAATGACTTCGCTAGCTCCTGGGTTTCGTTTTCACCCAACGGACGAAGAACTCGTTTGTTACTATCTGAAACGCAAGATCGGCGAAAAACCCTTAAAATTCGATGCTATCTCGGTTACAGATGTATACAAATCCGAGCCGTGGGACCTCCCAGGTCAGTGTTTTTTCAATTGATGATAATAGATCGAAGAACAATTACAGATTTTGGAATTCTGATTGATTTTGTTTGTTTTGGTGGGGAATTAGATAAGTCGAAGCTGAAAAGTAGAGACTTGGAATGGTATTTCTTCAGTATGCTTGATAAGAAGTATAGAAATGGATCGAAGACGAACCGTGCGACTGAGAATGGGTACTGGAAGACGACTGGGAAGGATCGGGAGATTCGTTATAAGTCAAGAGTCGTTGGGATGAAGAAGACTCTTGTTTATCACAAAGGTCGAGCTCCTCGTGGTGAAAGAACCAATTGGGTTATGCATGAGTATCGGTTGGTTGGTGAAGACTTGGAGAAAACTGGTGTTCAGCAAGTAAGATTGAAGATTTTTGTGACTTTCTTTATGTAAAAGCAATGGGATTTGTGTTGTTGACTTTGTTTTGTGTCTATTGGGGAATTGTGGAAAAACAGGATGCGTATGTGGTTTGTAGGATATTCCAGAAGAGTGGTACAGGTCCTAAAAATGGAGAAAGGTATGGTGCTCCGTTTGTTGAGGAGGAGTGGGAGGAGGATGATATGACATTTGCACCTGGTCAAGATCCGGGAAGTGAAGATTGTGTTTATGTCGATATGGATCAAATTGATCAGGTTTGTGTTGTAGTGTAGGTCCGATTGCTTATCTTGATCCGTTAGGGGTTATAGTAGTTTACAACAATTGGTGAATCTTTTCCAAAACTATGCGTCAACTTGTGGTTTGTGATTCTGTTAGGCACTAGAATGTGAAATGTTATGATACCGATGGATGAATGATAAGGAATATTATAAATAGAGTGGGAGTGAAAACAGATTAGCCGTTTTTTTGGTTTATTGGGTTGTTTGGAAGCCTTAGGGGTTTGGGAGAATTAAGAGTAGTCTGATATACACTCTTGATTTAGGTTTTGGTTCTAATGTTTACTGATATATCTTGGTTAGCTTTTGGTCTATTGTTGTGTGTATTCATCAAGGGTACACTCTTGAGGAATAAAAGAAGCTTGTTCAGATCTCTCTTACTCATTCACTGATCTTAACATATTCATTTGAGGCTCTCTATTATGTTTTTCCATTTCTGAATCGAATTTTAATTCTTGCAGAAGCCTGACAACCCTTTGGTCTATGATGCCGTTCCTATTCCATTGAACTTTAATCACGGGGAATCTAGCAATAATGTTGAAACAAACTACTCAGAATCCAATAACTATATGCAACCAGGAAACTATGTGGACTCTAATATCTACTTTGAACGTCCAGTGGAATTTTCTGAGGACGATCAGAAGCCTATCATCCGTGATGGTAGCCTTCAAAATGATGCATTGTTTCCAGATGAAGAAAATGGTTGTGGCGTCCAGGACGGCAGCACGGCAAATTTCCGAGCTTCTGACAACATCTTTGAGACTGATACATCACGCTATAATGATTTTCCTGTTCAGAGCGACTATTTTACCGGTGAGGAATTTCTGGATCCGAACAGTAGTCTTCTACAGAACGATGGTCTGTACCTGGAAACGAATGATCTCAGCAGTACTCAGCAAGATGGTTTCGACTTTGAAGACTATCTTACCTTCTTTGATGAGGACGATGAAAACTTGACTTTCGATCCTTCTCAACTGATGGGAACTGAAGATGTTATTGCCGATCAAGAAGAGCTCTTTCAAAAGGTATATAAGCCCTTGTCTTTCGACTTTTTTTTAGTAACTTTTCTTTTAACTCACTTTTAAAACCAACAGGGTGAGGCTGAGGGAGCCTCAGGAGGCAAACAAGTGGTGGAAGAAAAGGAAAAGGATGAAGCATCTTGCTCGAAACAAGTCGATGCAGATGCAACAGAGTTTGAGCCAGGTATAAACCCTTTTTACCACAATCAGAACTCGCACCCATATGGTAATAGGCTTCACGTGTTCTGTTTAGCTGATGGATCAATTCCTAATTTCGCAGACTACAAGTACCCATTCCTCAAGAAGGCGAGCCACATGTTGGGTGCTATTCCTGCTCCGCCTGCATTTGCTTCTGAGTTCCCCACAAAGAATGCATCTGTCCGGCTACACGCAGCCCAATCATCAGGTTCTGTCCATGTAATCGCAGGTATGATGACAATATCAGACAGCAACATGGGCTGGTCATACGGCAAAGACGGGAACCTTGAGTTAATCCTTTCTTTCGGGTTGGTCCAAGGGAATGCTGCGTCCGAGAAATCAGGAAATAGTTTAACAAGGGCAATGTTAATGTTCATGTGTTTCTGGGTCCTGGTACTCTCAGTTAGTTTCAAAGTAAGCACTTTGGTCTCTTCCCGGTGAGAAGTAGCACTTTTTCCAAAGAAGACCTTTGTATTTGTACTCATTTATATAGGTTTAGTTGCAGTGTTCTGCTGCTCAATGTTTTATTCACCAATTCTATTGAATTTCTCACTT